ATGGCGGGTAAGTGGGGTCGAGCTCTGGGGGCTCCGGGACACCCCTTCCTCCTCAGCGGCGCCCACCCGGCGGAGCCCGAGACCCGTCCGCCGTGCCGCTCCCGCTAACCCCGTGTCTCTTGTTTGCAGAGGTCCCCCTGTACTTTGTGGACTTGCAGGATGACTTAGACGACTGTAAGTAACAGTTGGGGCGCCCCCGCCCCTCCCGGGCAGCGTCTCTCAGAATTCGGGGCGCACAGGGCGCGTGCGGGGTGCTACAGGCCGGACCCTTTTTGTGGGGACCTAGGAGCGGGACCCCCAACTGTCTTGATCCGCTGGTGGCGGCCCCTCCTCACTGGGCGGGGCGGCCGAGGATGGGGAGCCCTCCCCTCGCGGGTAGGAGTTTGGTTTTTGGGAAATTTCTAACTTCCTGTCACTTTCTTTCTCTTCTTCTTCCTCCTCCTCCTCCTCCCCCTCCCCTTTCTCCCTCCTCCTTTGCTCTCCCTCCCCCTTCTCTCCCTCCTTTCCTTACCCTCCGCCTCCTCCTGTGGCTGCTGCCAGGGATGGGCGGGAGGAGGCGCACCCCCCCCCCCCGGGTCTCCACTTCCTAAGTGGGACTCCTCAGTGCCTGGGAGCTGGGAGGTCCCGCTCTGCGGGTGGCCGCGCGGAGTTGCGCGGACTTCGCAGGTGTCCTGGGCACCAGCCCGACTCCTCTCTGGTCCCTGGTTGATCACTGGCGCCTGCGTCTCTCGGGTGCGTCTCCTTCTCCTGCCCCCACCTGTCCTCTCATTTCCTCTCGCATGTCTGTGAGGGTTGATGGCTGGGGGAGAGGTCATCCTGGAAGGGCATGCTCACCTGTGTGGGGAGGCAGATTTCCTCTCCGTTCAGCAAACGTTTCTTGAGCACCTGCTTGTTCTGGACCTACATAGATGAACCAGAACAGGAGAGCTCTCAGGAAGCCTCCTGTCCGGGGGAGAGCAGAAAATCAACTCATTCCAGTGCTCCCTGGTGAAGGGGGCCCGTGCAAATTGCCAGAGCAGCTAACCTGCTCTTCCCTTTCTATCTCCAAGGTTCCTGATAATAAAAGTTGGTGTTTATGGTTTAAATCGTTTCGGCAAGTTATCTCTTTTAGAGGGAGGCAACTTTTAAAAAGTACAGTGGTACTCGAAGGGGCACGGAAGGCCGTGGTTAGGAGCATGGCTTCTGGAGTCAGATGCCAAAGGGGAAAATCCTGTACCACTCTGAGCCTCAGTGGCCTCATCTATAAAATGAGCATATTAGTGATCCAAAAGGGCTTTGTAAAGGGTAAAGTAATAAAAGGTTTAGTGTGAAGCCTTGTAAGTAACACTTGGTAAATATTAGCCGCCATTATTACTATCATTACTATAGTTCATATTATTATTTTTAGAAATTCTTTATTGTTGAAAGTATTACATATGTCCCCCTTTTTTCCCCATTTGCCCGCTCCAGCCTGCCCCTGCCCCGACCCCAGACGATCATCGCCCCATTGTGTCCATGGGCCATGCATATATTCACACAGATTCCTTGGCTGATTGCCTTCC